AATATTTAAATGAACTATTCTGTTTTCTTTTTTTTATTAAATACGAAAATACTGTTTTTTTTTTCAACAAGAGAAAACATTAATAATAATAATAATAATAATAATAATAATAATATTAATAATAGTAAAGAAAAAAAAAAAAAAGAAAAGAAAAGACAAACTCTAGCACATATACAATAAATAAAAATTATGTTTTTTTTTTTGTTTTTTGTTTTTTTGATAATTATATACAATTAAACAGCAAAAGCAAATAAAGATTCGTACATAAGAAAAAAAAACAAAAATCTATAAATACTTGTTTTAAGTTTTATACATCGTACTTATAAGATCATCCGAGCATAAATAATTTAAAATAATATCATAATCTAAATTAGTGTCAATATTTGATTGTTGGACATTTCCTCTTCCACCCAAATACGTATCAGCTAATGCTTCAATATCATCAAATAGTGACTAAATAAAATAATATATATATATATGCAAAAAATTTTTTTCAAAACAAAAAGAAAAAAAACTTACAGATGTTAAATCCTCTGTTAAATAAGTATTTATAGGATCTTGTAGAAATGCAGTAAGTTCATCAAAATTATTTTGTTCATTTGTTAATCTTGATGTTGTTGGTGTTAATGGTGTTTGTGGAAAAGAATATTGATGTTGTGCAACACGAGGTGTACCAACACTCTACAAATAAATTATGTATATGGAAATTTTTTTTTTATAATTTTACCGGTGGTCCAGGTGTCATTTGACGATCAATTGTATCTCCATTTGGACAAAGTGCATCTGTAAGTGAATTAACTGAACTTGGTTGACTTTGATGATGTGGAACACCAAAATCTGTATTTCCATTAAATTCTCCTTGATATGGTGTACTTGGATTACTTGGTGGACTAGGAAATATTTGTGATTGATTTGAATATAATTGATATTCTGGTGATATTGATGATGATGATTGTGATTGTAATTGTTGGGCTGGAATATATGAATTTGAACAATTTGATGAATAATAAGATGTTGATAATTCATCAGTTTTTGATTTTATTTTATGTTTCATTATATTTGAATTTTGTTGATATGATATTGGTTGTGATTGATAACAATTTTGATAAAACATTTGATTGTGTGATGGATAATGTATATGAGAATTACATTGACAAACTGATGTAGAAGAATGATTATACATCGAAGGTGATGGATATGGCATTGAACGTGCTCGTGCTGATATTATTTGTTGATGACCAGGATGATAAGTAGATATTGGACCGGGAATAGATTTACTAGTAGTTATAATACGTTGTTGTTGTTGTTGTTGTTGTTGTTGTGGATGATGAATATGCTCCATGTGAGTTGGTGTATAAGAAAGAGGAGTATAAACATCCTAACAAAAAAAAATATTTTTATTGTTTGTTTTTTTTTTTTTCAATATTTCAACTTACAGAATTTGAATCAGTTTTAACTGATATTGTTGATGATTGTTGATATGGATATGTTTGTTTTATTTCATTGATCGGATATGGTGAAGGCCTTGAATGTAATGAATGATAACTATGAATTGGACCAATACCATTCATATTGATTCTTTGTTGTTGAATTCGCCAATCATCCATTGATGAACAACTTGTTTAGTTTTTTAAGAAAATAATCGACTAAATCATCTACAAGAGTAATAATCGCATTTGTAAGCAATAGAGAGAAAGAGACAACAGCACCAAACACATCAGACGAGGGAGAGAGACAGAGAAAGAAAGGAATAGAAGAATAAGAAGAAGAAGAAGAAGAAGAAGAAGAAGAAAGAAAAAAAAAAGACACACGTCAAAACGTCGTACAGCAGTAGTATAAACGCACGAACAGAAGAGAAAAAAAAACACGAGAGAAAAAAGAAAGAATCAATTGCACTAGCTAAGCGTCTATATGATGGTGCGAGTCGTAGATGTTTCCTCTTTTCTTTCTTAGATAGGTACTTTTCTTTTTTTATTTCTTTAAGTGTCGATATGTCACTGTCACTTAGTTCTTACTTTGCTAAGCAGAGAAGAAAAGAGAAAGAGGAAAAAAAAAATGTAACCGATCAAAACTATCAAAAGCCTCACTTGTTTCGTCTGACAATGTGAAAAGAAAAAACGAGAACGAAAAAGAAAGAAAAAAAAAAAAAAAAGAAGAAAGAAAAATTCTTTATCTTCCTTTTTTCCTACAATATTTCACGTCGAATAATAATAATAATAGTAATAATTGTCGATGTAGACAATCTCAGCTTGTCTTCATACGTTTGATTATTATTTAAAACTACAACTACGAAAATAACAAAAAAAAAAAAAAAATGAAATCTAAGAAGACACATACATACAACATTTTTAAACAAGATATTTGTTTATGTTCAATATATTTATTTCATTTTTGTTTATAACTAATCATTTTTTTCTCTTTGATTTATTTAATCTACATATTTCATATGAATGATTAGAGAAAGTAAATGTGTATTATTTAGAGAAATATGATTAAGAGAAAAATAATGATTTATGATTTACTATTTATTTATTATAACATTGTGACTCTATAATGCTATTTGAAAATATTCTCTTTAAAATGGAAATATGTCGTTTTTTTTCTATATAAATATATATATATATTCATATAAACATTCATGATCATAAACCAACTAATCGAAGAAACGTGCTCAATGTAATGGAAGTATATCCTGTCACATTAGTTCACTTCTTTTAGGTTTTCTTTTTCCCGATGATGATAAAATTATTCCCAATAGAAACTCATTGAGTACAATTTGAAGATCGAAGCAAAATCATTGTTAATTCATCGTGATTCTTTTGCAAGGTCATATATTTGTCTTGATGCATTTTTTTTTTTTGTATTATGAGTTAAGTACTCTTTAACTTCTGTAGGATTTTTTTTATCTAATATTTATTTAACTTATCGTGAAAAATATAAACATGTTTTTTTCTTTGTTGATTTCTTTTCATTTGCTGAAATAACGAGATTTGACGAATCAAAATCAAAGTTTTCTATAGTCAGTTGGAATATATGAGACGAGAAGCAGAAGAAGAAGAAAAAACACAAGAATCTGAGAAGATGAGCAACAATGATGACGATAATAACATCATACAAGAAGAAAGAAAATTGAAGAAAAAAAAAGAAAAGTGAATACAGAACGACAAGACAGACAAACAAAAAAATAGTTATATGGAAGGTGGCAAGAAAAAAGAGAAACTTCTGAATATCTGTGGGTTTCTTTTCTTTTTTCTTTCTTTTACTGGCCAGAAAAAAAAAAAAAAGAAAAAAAACAAAGTGGCGATCTGCCAAACACCATGCGACTATGTTTTGTATCTGTTATTTAGTCTTACTTGAGGGTAAAGTCCTTGTTTTTGTTATTCCAATCATTTTTTTTTGACATAATTGAGACACAACATGGAAGAAAAAAAAGAGGAAGTAAGAGAAAGAAAAGTTGCAATATGACAGAAAATATGAAAAATGGAAATTGCTTACGTTATCAGTATTATTTATATACTTGTTTTTAACTCATTGTAATTCCAACTGTCGAATTGACGCGATGTCATTCATATTGAATGAAATCAGAACGAAAAATGAAATAAAATAAAATAAAATAAAATAAAAAAGTGATCACGTAATGTTGCAATAACTTGACTAATACAAGTACAATGAAATTTTTATTCTTCCAAGTCATCATTCATAATGTAGGCGATCAAAACGAACATTTTCTCTTTTATTTTTATTGAGAAAAAAATCAATGTAATATTCAATAAACAAAAAAAAAAATCCAACATGATGCCTGTTTAAATAAATATAATCATATATTTACAGAAAAAAAAAAAATCTTTTTTGTTTTTTGAATGAATCTCTATCAAAATCAATAATTGTTGATATTCGTTCTTTTCACAGATATCTGTATAAACAATATTATAAGCATATGGCCTCAATAGAGATTCAATCAATTATAACCAATACGTATTATCATGTTCTTTGGTCAAACTATAATGTTTGTCTCTGTCATGCATGTTTTATTTAAGATAGATGTTCTTGTTGTTGTTGGTTAGTACATAGGACCCAAAGATACAATTTATTCTCTTCTTCTTCTTCTTCTTCTTCTTCATCTACCTGCAAGACATAGATAAATGTAATACGAGCTACTAGCATCCCTTGATAATAATGCCGATCGCATTAAAGATAATATTTTCGTCGTTCTACAGACAAAGAAAATAGTTATATATTTATAATTAAGTTAGTGATATGAACACAATGCAAGAGAATTTCTTTATTGCTTGACAACAACGAATAGGAAAATGATACAATATGTTATTTTATAAGACTTTATAAACAATAATGATAATTGTTTTATGTTCTGATTTTTTTTTCTCTTCATGAGTTTTAAATGAATGTTCATTAAGAATAAAAAAAGTCTTGCTAATATTCAATGTATTTTTTTAAAATGCAAACAACTTGTCAATATTTAATATGAAACTAAGAAAAAACAAAAAAGTTACGGTCAAAATTTTATTCTTATTAATAATTTAGATAATTATTTATCAAAAAGAAATTTTATTTAGGAAATAAATCTAAGCATGGAATAATTTTAGTTGAGTTATTTATAGATAATCTTTTTGTTACTGAAATGTTAGTCGCCCTTTTCAATATCATTACGTATCGCTTCTATTCAATATATCAATTCTATTAATACCAAGTACATATTACTGACCTGGCACATTATGTCAAAAAGAAAACAAATAACGGATCATGATACAAAAAAATATTTTCTTCTAATTTCTTGATATGTCAAGGTAAATTCTTTCTTTAGGGATATGATTCGATAAAAAAAAAAAAGAAAGACAGAAATGGCTAACATAAATATGAAGAATGTTATACTAATTAATATATATAAAATAAATCATAACTGAAAATTGTACTCATTTTATTTAATGAAGAATATCAATCATATTCAAAATGATCAATTTGTTTTTTTATAAAATTTTTGTTTATTCAGTTTTATTAGTTTGAAGTTGAACATGATTTGATAAATATTTCGATGGCAATCGACCACGACGTCCTTTTAATTCATTCGTACGAACAACTTCTTTCATCATTCCAACAGCTAAACATTTTTGAAATCGACACCACTAAAATTTTAATTAATAAAAAAGAAAAAATGAATGTTGAATAATAAGTTCTTTTGTTTTATATTATTTACCTGACATCGATTACGACGACGTTTATCAACAAGACATTGTTTATCAGATAGACAGACATATTTAGCATTTTTTTGTACTGTTCGCTGAAAAAACAAAAAGGCGTTTTTTTTTCAATCAATTAATAAATAAAAAAATTTTTTTTTTTTTTTTGTGTTTTAGTGTTAAAACATACTTTAAAAAAACCTTTACATCCTTCACATGTTCGAACACCATAATGATGTGACGTTGAAAAATCATTGCAAACAAGACTAAATATTAGTAAACAAAAAATCAATAGAACATGAAAGAAAACAAAAAAAAAAAGTGAATTTTTTATTATTTACCATTGATATTTTGGTGAATTTACATTTGGAATAGTATGAAATCTAAATAAATATTAATTAATAATTAAGTTTTTTTTTTTTTTTTTCCTTAAAGATTTCTTTTATATTTAACTTTAAAGTTGAAGAAGAATTTTGTGGTAATTGTAAATCGTATATTGTTGTTGAAGGTTGTGTTAGATTGAAATGATTTAAATTTATTTCATTTGATACTTGATAATCATAATTTACATTAGATAATTCAACAAACTGAGATTGATTTATTGAATAATCAATTTGTTGTGAAATATTCCAATTGTCTGAATTCATAAGGTAATCATCAATATGAAATCCATTCATTTCAATCGTTTGTTTCTTATTCTTAATGTGTCTCGTTGCCTTTTTATTGTTGTTTGCTACGTAATGTTTGATGTTTTTATCTTAATGAAAAGTAAGTAAGGATTCGATTTCACACATAGACATAAACGAGATTTCAAAAAAATCTATGATGCAATATGATCAGCATCATCATTGAAACAAAAAAAAACTTAAATCAAATCTATTGCGTATATCTATTCGAACGTAGTATTTTGTTTTTTTTTTTGCTTGTAGATATGATCGAGAAGGAAATATATTCTTTTTTTAGTTATCACATCATTTGTAATACTATGCAATGTATTTAATCGATTTATCCAACATGATAAGATATTATAATGGACATTTAACAATGACTATTTTTCAATCATGCCATAGAAATGTTAGTTTTACTAGACAATTGTATATTCGATTATATTGTTAGTAAAAAAAAATTCGAACATATTTGAAGTCTACAAGAATTTCAAATGGATATGGCATTGTATTAAATGAATAATAATTATTAAGAAAAAAATAATATTCTTTTTTTTTTTACATTTAGAAATACTCACATAGGAAGATTTAATTACTATTATAAGAATTAGTTCAAAATATTTCTCTGAACTTGGATTAGTATAGTTTCACATACATGTTTGTTATTCTCATATTTCATTCTGTGTTAGTGCACACATTAGAATCGATGAAAATAATTTATATATTTATCAAACATTAGTAAAATCATTAGAATATAATGATGAACAATCCTCATGAATATTCAATGTTGACAATTCTATTGAACGTGAAAAATATCTTTTATTTGTATTCATGATCAAATTATTATTTTATCAGATAGTTCTATAGATAGAACTGTTATGAATGTTTATTTATTATTAACTTGAGCTATATTTTATATTATATCAAATACTTGAAAATAATCAAAAAAAAACATATACATTTTAATAGTCATATATTACTTTATTTATCATAGGAAAGTAGAAACAAAATATTTAGTAAACTAAGAAAGACATAAAAGATAGATTTAGACTAATATCATCTATGTAGTATTACAAAAATAAGTATCAGGTAACAATATAGTAATACTATGTGTAATAGAATCAGAGAAAGAATATATTTAAGATAAAGATAGTTTGTAGAAAAGAAAAATCTTCATAAGTCGTTAGTCATGATAATTTTAATGACAAAAGTTTTTTAATAAAAATATGCAGCACAATCGAGCTTTGATGTCAGCATGAAGTCTTAACAGATATTATAGAAAAAGCCTTGATCTAATAGAAATGAATTACATGATGTCATTAGCTTTCATATACAATTCAATGTTCTTCCTTTAAGTTTGTTCTTCGAAAGAGTAACATTCAGGAAATCCTTCTCAAAGAACAATAGATTTAGGTTCTATTGTATAAAATCAGCACGCATTATAGGACAATTCTCCTATCTATGTACAATATCGTAAAAATCATATCAATTTTCAAAAATATCAGTGTAAAATTCTATTTAATTACTGATTCCAGTAACTGATTACGAATCATCAATTGATTAGAGAAATATTTCAAGATATATAAAATTAAGAGTCTAATATAATTTCTACACATTTGTTAATTATAATCATAGTGATTTGAAACCAAAAGAAAGATTTAGTGAATATCATTATATTAACGAGATTGGATAATTTAAAAAAAGACAATCGAGCTAAACTTCACATGGATTTATTTTAAAAGATGTTTTTTTTTTGATAAAATCGATATTTTTTTAAATCAATTATTTTATTCAATGAGAATTTTTCTATTGTAGATAAACTCATGCCGCACATTTGTTCACGCAGTAAGCATGTGATTTTTCTAATGGAAAAAGACCTTATTCTCTAGTGCAGATGGGAAGAAGACTAAAAATTTTTTCGTTGGTAGAAAATTTGAAATAGAGGAATGATAGCTGAAAATATCGAAAGACGAATTTCAGTAACGTTGTTGGATTACGTGCTATAGTCAATCAAAAAAACTCAAATCCAATAAGGTTGTATTTGGATTATTTTCAAGTTTCATGTCCGTCTCTTATTAAACCAAACGATTCATTGGATCATTCTCCATTTGATTATCAAAAGCAGACATCTTTCTATATTTGTAGCGCGACAGTTTATTAATGTAGTTCATAAACAATGAGATAAGTTTTAAATATTGAAATTCTGTTGTTGAGTTTGATTGCATGTCGAGAGAAGACTAACACTCAAACATTCATACTCGTATACATTCTTTGATCTTTCAATAGGTACCATATTTATCTTCATTTTTTTTTGCGTGCTGAGCTTTTCTCATGCTTATCGTTCCGGTTTCCCTGTGAGAGATCCTTACTCTATATACTGGGCTGTGCATAACCTTTTGCTAGGGGGGTAACATTATGATTTCGAGTTGAATACCCAATGAATTTTATATCAGATTAGAGCCCGTGAAAAACTGGATCTAGAGGTATAGTCATCATTTCGATAGATAAGACTAACGTTTGAAATTGCGAATATAAAAGTAAATCCGTACAAATACTCAATCGTCAAAATTCTGCACATTTTTCTCATTATGTATTATCTTCCTTTCTATTACTCCTTTTCTTCTTTTTGTAAAAGTATTTTGTGTTCTGTTATATGTGTCATGTATAGTGGGAATCATCCTTTTCTTTCATCCTTTATCTCAATGTGTATCATGGGGTGTGGGTGTAGTTCTTTTCTTAACCCACACTCACACACCCACACCTACATCCCAAAGTGAAAAGTTTCTGTTACTTCTGATTTCAGTTCTCTCTCACATGTATTATAATGAGCACAACTAATAATCATTGATTGACCGGTGTGCATTTATGTTAGTGTAGTTGTTCTTTTCATTCACATACACACATACCATGAATCCATTTCATACGTAGTATTCATGTTGTGTAGAAAAACTTGCAGTTATATTTTGATTTTGATTAATATTTTTCAAATCTTCATTAAAGTTCCATAAGAAAAGTACATGACGATATTAACAAAATCTGGATTTGCAAACGAAAACAACAAACATACATAAAGATTCAGCGGAAAAGTAATCAGATACATTTTTCTTTTCGAAATGATGATAAAAAATGTGTTTTTCATTCCCAATAGTTCAGTGCCAATCATTTAACTTGGGACTGGTTCGTTCTATCTAAACGTCGTCGTTGTGATTTTTTGACCAGTTGCAATACTTTCACAAGTAATGGCCATGACTTTTGTACTAAGTTCATGAGAAAGAAGATTGGAAACGCCCCGCTCACCAGTTCTACAGTTCGAAATAAAAGACTCAATGCAACGGTCTCGTGCCCAGCCCAAATGTGCGTCTTGGTTTTCTAAATCTGGAATTAAGTCCTTGATTGTAACTCGTTCATAAGGTTTCCAATTCTTATTGATGCCTACATTTCTAAAAACATGAATTTCGAGAGGTTCTTCAAAAGAATCACCTTCTACTACTCGTTTCGATACGGGAACTTTGCTGCATCCTCGAAGACTAATAACTGAAATCGATTGATACGGTCCTTGGACAAAATAATGTGGTTCTTGGCGTAAACGACCATTGCCGCGGTATAAATCGTTGGTAACTGGCTGTAACCAATATCTTCCACTGAAACTATTGTGAAGAAGATTTAAATTACCAATGACCAAGGATTTTCCATTCCTCTTGTAGTTCAAGTTAATCAGAGAATCGATCTCTCCATAATTTTTTACTTTGACAAGATATTCCTCTTCATTCATTTCACTACTGCGAAATGCATCGCCGAAAACTTGACGATAATTTGCATTTGTCATAATTTGGCAATAATCTGATGGAAAAACGGATGTAGAGAAGGCTTCAACACTGTCAAAATTTTTGCCCTCCGCTTCGAGACTTTTATAGACAAAAAGCGTGGCTATGTCAAAAAAATGATAACCAGAATGGCTAGCTTTTCCTTGTCCAATATTAAAACCGTGATAATCTATTTCAATGATTTCTCTTGGAAAACGCCATTGTCCATCAGCATGAGTGCTTTGAAAATGAGTTAGTCCACAGCCTGTTTCTCTAGCCACTTCTTTCAGTTTAGCTAGAATAAATTGAAATACGGGATGATAACGTCGCTGAACCATAATGTCGAAGGTTAATTTTGGATTTTTTTTCAGCGCCGTTTCGTAAAATGCACGAATTTTCTCGTAATCTTTCAATAGTTGCCTACTAGCTTCAGGATCAGTACTAATATTGTGCGGAGCCGTCAGAGGCTTATCCGCTAAAATATGAATATTGTTATGAAGGAGCCATTCCAAATATTCCATACGATCTTCAGATGGCGTGCTTAAGATAGCGGAATTAATTTTGTGTTTGGAAACCACACTAGAGAGAAATTGATCAAGTTCCTGTTTGCTTAACGACTTCGGAATAAAAATAGCCTCTGGTTGATCTACTTGATCAAATACACATTGAAGAAAGTTAGTGACGATTTCTTTCTGAGATTGCAGATCGATACATGCAACGAGTTTTGCATTGCACTGGGGATGTCGAAGAAAGTAGCTAATATAGCATGATCGAGCGTACTGACCAGTTCCAATTAATAAAATGTTGTTGAAACAATATTGATCCTCCAGAGCAATCGGTTGTAGTATGATTTCGTTAGAATGATATGTAGACTTATCATAACTGTTGGAATGTGAAGAGGACATTTGTGATTGATTTGTTACTATAACCACGTCATTGGTTTTTGGATCAGCCTGAAATATAAAATTAAAATTTTCCTTCAAAACATTCTTTTTTGTTTATTATTTGGAGTTCCTATTATTCAAGCGATCTATGCTGAGTCCAATCATTTCGAATCTTCCTTTTTTTGTTTTCTATTACTAAATCGTGTTGATTATGTTATGATTCAGGAATTCAACCTTATCTCTGAATTCTTATAAAGACTCTATCAACAAGATCTTGTTATTTATAGTATATAGAAAGAAAAAGATTGCTATTTTCGTATTTCCC